TCTATTCCGTTCTTCATTCCATTTGAATTCGACTCCTTTTTGAGAGAGTTCATGCAAAGGTTTAGCCATCTTGGAAAACTGGTCTATAAATCGACGGTAAAAATTAGCAAAACCTAGAAAGGTTTGAGTCTCGGATACATTTTTTGGAGTAGGCCAATCCTTCACTGCCTTAACTTTACTTTCATCCATTTTGATCTGATTCCTTGATATCACTAAACCTAAATAAGATATTTCTTTTCTTGAGAACTTGCATTTTTCAGGTTTGAGCCACACGTTCTGTTCTTTCAATATCTTCAAAACTTCTTTCACAACAGCTTGGTGATCAACTCCAGGTCCAGTGTAAATCAAAATGTCATCCTGATACGCCGCTACATCCTTCCCTATATGAGTTTTCAATATGTCCTGAATAAAATACTGAAAGAAACCTGGCGCTCCTGTTGGACCAAAGGGCATTACTAAGGGTTCGAATTGGCCCGCTTTGCAGATGAACGCTAGCTTTGCCTCATCGCCTTCTCTGACTCGTAGCAACACCCAAACCCCGCCGCAGCGCGGCGGATTTTTGGTCCACGGAGGCAGCGGTGCAATCAACCCCAGTTTTACGGGGACCTCACCGCAGCGCTGCCGCAGTGAGAAAAAATCTCAAGGGGACCGCGGCGCGCTTGAGACCATCGCAGCGCGCCGCAGACTGGGGTTTTATTTCCCTAAATTTGAAAAAATGAGATTAATGCCAAAAAGAAAAAGACCTGCTTGACAACCCTCAATCTGACAAAGTTGATCGAGAGACGACAACAGAATAGAAAAATGCTATTCATGATAGTAAGCGACCCTCTGTTGACGGTTAAGAACCTTTGACCTTTGTTGACTGATTTTGATGCAAATTTCTATGACCTTTAGCTTGTGTGATACATTGGTTTTTTGATACCAGCAGTACTCAGCTATCTTTCTTTGGACACTTTCAACTCGTATCCGGTTTGGCTCCTGATTCACTCACTGCTTTGTTATGAAATTCACATCTTTCAGTCTTGTATCGGCACCCGGTCATCTCACCTGCGCCACCTGCTCCTCTTCACCCTCCTCTACCGCCTCCACCCGACCAAATGGACCCCAATTACTCCCATGAGACAATGCTGGAGGGTCATGCAATCTCTCAAAGTCTCGCGCAGGCTGAACTAGAGGATCGATCCCTACATACATTCAATAAAGATGAATGTGGAGTACCTAAACTCTTCAGTCTGGTAACGGATATGGCGTTTCTGAATGAGCGCCATATTGTTTGGGAAAGCTTAGAGGATGTCGAGGGTGGTATGAGTGAGTTTTATGATGAGAATCAACTACAAGTCGCCTCAAAGCCCCAGCTTCACGTCAAACAGGTCAACATGCTGCCAGCGGTCCGCCGCGCAGAATTTCTGTCCCACCGCACGACACGACAGAGCCCAATCAGCTCAACAACGAGTGCCTCTTTTACTATAGCCCACACGTCCTGTCGGAGGTTTCAAGTTTGGTATTTTGTACCTTTAGATAACCTCTGTGAAAACACGAGTTGTGACTGTTCATCTGAAGTTTGAACTAACAATTGGACGTGTCAGGGGTTGAATATGTACAGTCTAGGCTATATGAGCCAAACTGGGCCCCTGGGTCCCCCCTGGGGTACCTTCAATGGGGCAGCGGCGGGTTGGACCTCAGTAAAAACTGGGCCCCGGCGCGGTTTTATCCCAGTGAGCGTTCAGTAGACTGAGGATGCGGCGGGACCCCCGCGCTGCCGCAGCGCTGCCCCAGTTTTCCGCGGCGGGGTTTGGGTGTTGCTCGTAGGTTGTTATAGCCATTCCGCATGTCAAGACTGGTGAACTGATCAGCATTCAGTAAGCTGTCAATAAGTTCCATAGTCAGAGGTAATGGATACTTATTTTTGATAGTGACTGCATTTAACTTTCGATAATCAAAACAGGGCCTGAGATTGCCATCCTTCTTTCCCGTGAATAGTACCGGCGCGGCCCACGGAGATGTGGTTCTACGTATTGTTCCATTTTTGAGTCCTTTTTCCAACATCTCGTTTAACACTTCTGTTTCTTTCGGTGATAAAGGAATAATTTTGCCGGCTTGTGGTGTCGCACCTGGTGTTAGATCCACTCTGAAATCATACGGGCGATGAGGAGGAAGTGTGTTTGAATTGCTCTTCTCAAACATGTGCAAGTATTCATGATAACACTCCGGAACTAATTCTGATGCTGATTTGCTAGGTGTGTCTTTAGTTTGGTCCGCTGCTATTCTAGCGGATAGATTCCATGACGCCTTAGCAGCATCAATCATAGCTGTCGTGGGTTGGAGAGATTGCCGTAGTTGATTCATCATTTTTGTGATTGACGTCATTTTTGTACTCGTTCGTCTATTTGCTAGCTGTGATAGAGTAAAGAAACGCTTGCCAGCTAATTCATACACATTTGACAAAGATTTTGTACACGTACTCTGCGGGGGTTTAACAGAGTATTTTTCAAGGATCTCTACCCCCTTGCCTATTTGCCTTGCTTGCCTCGAGGGTCCCATGTCCTTCTGGTCCAACGAGGTGTTTGTCGGCTCAGGCAACACTGATTTGTTAACAGTGGCATGACTTCGTTCTTTGGAGTTGTTTGAATCAAGATCTGAAAAGTTTTCTAAAGGGTGTTCCTGCTTGCTCATCTTTTCTTTAAAATTTGAGGTCTTAAGCGAATTGTACTCACATTGCGGGGGTGTAATCGAGCTTTTCAGCTCCACCCCCTCGTTAAGAATCCTAGCTTGCCCATTTGAATCCACCTCACGGTCCATCTGCGCTTTTTTCGGTCTCAACGACGTCGTTTCTACGACTGCAATGTTGGTGGTTTCTTTCAAGAGTCAACCATTGCTCCAATCAATAACATGATGATTGTTCTTGATCCACGGCATTCCAAGGATCAGATTGTACTTGTCTCTTAGGTGGGTGACTATGAAAGTGGTTGGAGGAGCTTTGGTGGTGTTGACATAGAATTCTCCGGTGTGCATAATTGCAACTTCATGACCACTGAAGCTCGTCACCTTTCTGATTTGTGATAAAGGCTCTAAGTGAAGGTTGTTCTTAGTTGCAAAGCTTTCACTGATGGCTTCATGTGTAGCACCACTGTCTATCAGTGCTCTCGCTTGGGTCGTTGTGGCAGTTTTAATGTCAACAATAGTAACAAAATCGATAATTCTTGTATCTTTGATTTCAAGTGAATTAATGTTACTAAAGTCTATCATTAAATTGGGTTCGCTCGGGGGAGGCACAACTAGCACTCCCAAGCATCGCCATTTTTTGAACCATCAGATCGTCCTTCCACCTTTTCCTCATTCTTAACACCATCTAATTCAGCTACTCTATGCCTAAATCTTCCATAACCTCTACCCCTCCAGTTGCTTCTCCCACCTCTCCTTCCTCTCTCACTTCTTTCAGAACACTCGCCAATGTAATGATCCGTCTTCCCACACCTATAACATGCTCCTACAGCTCCTCTACGTTTATACTCGTCGTTGGAGATGTTTAGACGGTACGCCAAACAGTCCATCGCGTCTGGATCGGTAGAAGGTACTGTTGGCGATGTTGAAGTGGTGGCATTAGGTTGGTAAGGTACGTCCGGGGTGTGTTTGTGAATTTTGTTGTCGAGTTTAATAGCAAATTTAGCCATTTCTTCTACTTCGGTGAACTCTTCTCTAACCATATACACAGAGACTTCATTCCTTAATCCTTGTTCAAACTGAGATACTAATACATTTTCGGGCCATTTGATCACTAACGCTAACTCTGAAAACTTGATCCAATAGTCCGCAACAGACTTTGTCTGCTTCAACGCTCTGATCTCCCGTTCAGCTTTCACTACTCTTTCAGAGTCAAAGAACGTTGTCTTGAAAGAATCAACGAATTTACTCCGCGTGACCTGATTCATTTGATTCGAATCTAGCAATCGATCTATGAGAGATTGGGCCCAAACACTAGCTTTTCCGGTTAAATAAGACAGTGCGAAAGCCACTTGGGCCTGTTCATTAATGAACGAAGCATGATTCATTTGCATATAAAGGCTAATCTGATTCATAAACACTTCGGCTTTTTGGCCTTTTGTGCCTTCGAATTTGTCTGGAGTCGCTATTTTCGGAGGCTTTACATTCTGTATTTGTGCTGGTTGCACTACAGTCTGTGGCGGGGTCATAGTAGGGTTTGGGGTGGTCTGCATGGGATCAGGCTGGCTCGGCGTGTCGATGTTGATACCACTAGAGCTGTGGGTTTGATTTTGTTCGATACTCAGTTGAAGGTCCGTCCATCTCTTTTCCGCCTCCACCCTCAACCTCTTCTCTTCTTCTAAACTTGCTGCCATTTCATCCATTCTTCTCATGATAGCCTCCATGTCGAAGTTTGACATTGAGTCGTGAAAAAGTTCTTCTTTACTAGAATCTTCTTGTCCTGTAGGACTTTCGGGTAATGTGAAGTTAGGTGTGATGGCGTTTGAAATAAGGTTTTGGAGTTTAAGGTTTTCGCGGGGTATTGGTAGATCGCTGATAGATCGGTGATAGATAAAGTTTCCACTGAACTATGCTGATTACCGTTTGATCTGAGGTACTTCGAAACTCTTCGATTCTCGTTTTAATTTATTTGTCTTCTTTCTGTTGATTGATCTTCTTTACTTTCTTCTTTTCTTTTTGATTTTCTTCTTTCTTCAAACTTTTAATTTTCTTAATGATCTTCTTCCTCTTGAATACTTCTCTTGGATCCGTTGATGTATAGACTTAGCAATATGATAGGACTTGAGGAATGATGAGATGCAAGAGAAGCCTCAAGGGTGATCTAGTAATGAGATTAGATTGCTAAGTGAAGAAGCACTATCTGTGCGCTGAGCCAAGTATAATGAGAACAGCTAAGTACATAAGTGGCTAAGTACTGGCAGTGCTATAAGGGTCATAACAACACGCCGGATCCTAGATCAAAACATGATGTACCAAAAGGACGAGTGTCAGTGTATTGGTCACTCATGTGATTTTCATCATTATCAAAATGAAATGACAAAACAATAAAAGAAAATAAAAGTGCAAAACAAAAGACTTACATCTTCTTCACCACGTGTTGGTTCTCCAAAGTATAAACCAACATCATCATATACTTCGTCCTTTAGTTCCAGGGCACCTTCGGGTTTCTTTTTCTTTTTACGGATCCTGGCGTTCTCGTCGTCAGAGTCTTGGCGCAGGTTGGCGGAAGGAGCATGGCTTGATACCGAGGGAGCGACGCTCTAAACACATTAGAAGGCATTAGTGAGATCAATCCTATTGATCTTATCTAATGCAGTACTCACATGTTGTTGGTTTGATGGTCCTGAGGCTGCGGTGGCCGTGGATGCAGTGGATACAGCCTGTAACAACAAAAGGAATTGAAAAAAGAAAACAAAATGAACTGGAGAAACTTGAGAAGTGAAAATGGGGTGAGACACTTACTTTCTTTCCTTTTGATTGAGGGAGGGAGGTCTTCTTCTGGCTGACAGCCTTCTTTCGCTCGATACCACTTCGCTTGGACCTTTTGGGCGGGTTGGGGACGATGTGACTCACCACGGTCTCACAATCCGATCTAGAGGTGGATCGGCCACGTTTTCGGGCACTTGGTTTGGGTGCTGAGCTTATTGACAAAGGGACTTGCGAAGAAGGAAGGAAAAGGCCACGCCCACTGTCCTGTGAAGGTTGAATCATACCAGGTTCCAATCGCAGAGGAGTAGTAACACGAGATGTTCGACGAGGTTGGGATTCATAGGTCTCACATCCAGATTTGCCACGCATGTTGAAAAGGATGAGATGAGATCTGTGACTTGGAGGAATTGATCAATATATCTAAATGATGAAAGCAGTTTAAAACCGAGAGAATCAAGTATGATAAACCAATGATAACACAAACAATCGAAAGGAAGAGGAGACTTACATTCTAGTTGTTGAACGGTTATCAGGATGAAAAACAAAACAAAACGAGAAATTAGAATCAAAATGATTCAAAACAAAACATAAACGAATTGAAGATTACAAGATGAGATTTGTCACTTACATTGAATACATCTGACTCGTTTGACCATTGGTTGGGGTTGAGGGTTGGAGTTTGTCAATCAAGTTGATGATGCAACCAGGTGGTCACATCATCATTGTCCATGATGGTGAGGTGACCTATAGGTTGATTCAGCAAGGAAGATCGCCAATAACGGAGAATCTTGCTGACAACACATGTAACATGCCAAATTTGGGAACCAAGGATGTCACAGGAATCCTAATGTACCTACCCAAAAAAAAAACCCGCAACACAAATTGCTAACGCACCTGTAAGTAGGTCTTGTAATTTGGCCCGGGCCAGTACCGTAACCCAGTTACGGTACAGCGCAATAACGGTTGAGATTAACGTAACCGGTCCAACGTTGGCCTTACTGTTGCACAAAGAGTACATATACTTTCCAAGAAAAGTGCTCCTCTCTTGCTCAAGATTTGCCTCAATGATTAGCTCATAACATAAAATCTCACATGTAACTTCTTTCTTGGGTCCAGATTTTCTGCTGAGGCACAATCATTGAAAGACATTCTTGCCAAGAGGGGCTTGACTTCCTTGGAAAAAATGTAATGTACAAGTGAGGCCGGAAAAGATACGACACCAGTTTACTCCGCTGGCCCCGACTGGTGTACTGGGTGGAGTAAACTGGTGTCGTATCTTTTCCGGCCTCACTTGTACACCCAGGGTAAGACATCAGTGCACATTTTTTCTTTGTGTTCCACATAGGAATCCTTCATAGGGAATGTGTAGATGGATTTCAAGAACACCATCTGGAAAACACTCCACCCTACTCCACCCCCAGGTTATAGAGCATCCAAGGTACACAGGTCCCTTACAAGCTTGAACTGTCCCAAACAACAGTGTGGGATGTTACCAATGTTGGCCCTTTACGCTAAATTGCGTTACTCACGCATGATCGGGTAGCGTAACTTGGTCCCCGTTATTCCCAGGGCACAGGTGAGTAACGCAACCAAAAAGGAACCAATTTCATTAAGAACGCAACGATACAGAAAAAAAATTAGCCAGAACGAGCAAGTAACACAGTGGGTTTTAGTATTACCGTGTTACGCTGCGTTTCCGGCCGAAACAAAGGAAGAAAGGTAAAAGAAACAAAACAGAAAAAAAAGAAAGGCAAAATTTAAAAAAACAGACGCTTGATCTAAAGGCTTGCTCAACAAGTATGAAAATGACAATTTTATGAAAATAAATTTTTTTGTATTAAGATTTTCTGAGAAGGATAATGAACAAACAATGAGAAAAGTTTTTTTTGTAATAAGATTTCATGAGTAAGTAGAAGGTTCAAAAAATTTAAAAATAAACTGTAAGCGTTGATTATTGAGAAGGAGTTAAGTCTTCATCTTCCCTTTCGGTTTGGTCTTCTTGGTGAATTCTTCATACGCTTGGATGACCAAACCGACATCTTCATATTCGTCAGCAGTGATTGGAACCCCCTCACGTAGCCAAAGGCGGCTGCCAACACACATTTCAATTGTGCGAGGATGCAAACGACCTCGCACCGCAGTTGTCACATCTGCGGCTGCCGAAAAGGTTCACTCGGCTGCCGCAGAAGACCCAGGAACCGATAGGTAATCTCGAGCTAAAGATGCCAAGATGGGATACTTGTGTTGGTGTTCCTGAAGATGAGCAAGATAATCAGTAAAATGCAACCTGAATGACCGATATAATGGAATAAACACACCTTCCACCATTGGAGAACTGGTTCTGGACCATTCTCAACACCAGGAGTGGTCAAAGGATCCGTACCCTTCAGATAAAGCTCCAACTCGTTAGCTACAGAAGAGGTGTCCTCGTCGTCGTAAAGCCTATAGATATCGGGCATTTGGTCTGAGTCTTCGGTTTTGAGGTCTGGAAGGTGATTCAGATCGTGAATTAGGTTTCAGTTGATACTCGCGTTCAGTAAATTGATTGTGAAGGTATTCTTTTGCATGAAGGGTTGTGAAATGATCTGATCCAAGAGTGTGATTGAAGAATTTCAAGCGAAGGGCCGGATGGAAAACCGTTGCCATGAGAAGGGTATCGCATCCCAACGCTTCGTCAAAGTATACCTTTGTACGTTCAATACAAGCTTGCAGGAATGGTCGCATACGATCATCGGATGAGAGATTGGCGAGTCGAGCTTTCAAAGAGGTGAGGAGTCGATGATATTCAGCAAGCACCATGCACCCAGTTGGTGCATTGGCCTCCATTCGCTTTGTTAGAGTCTTGAAAGGCTATGAAACAAGCAAGTCAGCATGTCATTTTCTAATAGAAGGATTTGTTAAACTACTTACTCTGAGCTCATCTAGCAAGTCCCTGATAGCTCGCCAATCCGTGATCGAGAAGAATGTCTCCTGAAAATATCCGCTACGTTTCTTGGTTTTCTTGGAATGCCTCGACTTCTTTGAATGAGCCATTGAAGCATCTTCTTTCAGCATATCATCGATTACCTATTTAACAAAATCATATTAATCAGTACTATATGTAACATGAAATATAATAAAGAGGATATCATACATCTCTATTCTCATAAGCGCGCTCCCATCTATCTAGACATACATTCCATCTGATTCCATGGCCAGCGATTAATGATTGGCCAGGTCCATCTCCATCTGGTCTCTTCCTGTTCGGATCTAGTCGACGCGCATTGAAGTCTTCGCGCCAAGCACTCGACCAAGTGATATTCTTCACCACAAAGTCAAGCTATCAAATTGATACAAACAACAAGTCAGTCCAAAACCTTTTGATATGAAGACACAATACGAAAAATCAATACATACATCTTGAGTTAAAACTTTGAGTCCATTAATTCTCAAATTCGGCTTGGGTATGATGTCAATGCCCTCCATGTCCCAGTGATCGCTCTCGGAATCATCTGCAGCTTCTTCTTCTACATCGCTCAATTCATCTTTGCCATGTTCGACGTCAGACTCTTCATCAGGAGGCAGGATGATGGTTGCATCGATTTCTTCTTCATCGTCATCTTGAAGGTCATCTTGACGGTCATCTTCTTTGATCGTGGGTAAAATATCTGGTGAGGGAAAGAAACCTAAAACTGAGTGACGATCTTGACTTATCGGAAGGCCAAGTGCTGCTATGCCAGCATTGACGATGAGACCTATTTTGTGACACATGCATTTCACGTGCATTGTCTCGGGATCCCAGGAATACTCATCAGAGGTAGAGGTGGAGTGGTCGTTGTGTTCCTGTAGCTGTCGATGCATTTCGGTCGCCAAAGTCACGTTGTTCGAAGCTGAGTCAGTGGTATGAGCTATCATGAAAGGCAATCCATGATTGATGTCAGAATTAGATTGTTCAAAATGGTTATTATTGAAAAAAAGGAAAAAAGATGTTAAAGTACTTATCTTTTTGTACATATCATGTTTTTTGAGTACAGTGACCAGTGGCTCTGCAAGCCAAGCACCCTTGTGGTGATGAGCCACTCGTTTAAGGGTGAGATGACGAGAGACGAAGTTCCAGTCGTCATCGATATAACTAGCAACACCACCAATGAATGCCCACAAGTTACCTTGGACCGTCCAAACGTCGTGGGTCAACGTGAACTTTCCTGGAATCGACTGAAAATACCAAAGAAAGTCAGCAAAGCAATAATGACACAAGGAATATGCATATCATGTAGAGATAATAATGATAAGACATATTGACTTACTTGCAGCGTGTTGTAAACAGTATCGCGCAGGCCCAGGTGAAGATTTTTCGCCTCGCTAGCTGACCACTTGCGGTGAAAAAGACGGGCGTCAGGCTTAAGATAGTAAAAAGCTGCTTGGAGGAGTGGATCCTCAATTCTTGTCCATGGCAAAGCGTGTCGGACCTGCCATAACATCATGAGGCGATTAAATGTATGGATGTCGAACTTCGGTATGACCGTTACAAAGTTCTTCATCGTCCCGACTTTATGCGCATCTGCTATCCTTTTAGCATGCCGCTCGGCTACACTTGGAGGAAGGTTGCATCCACAAGCAATGGCTTCCTTACGTTTAGGACAACCTACCTTGGACCTGCCTTGTTGATTTGAACCATCTCGATGAACCAACAGGTTGGATCGACTGGTTCCGTGACCTCTACATTTCTTGCCGCAATATTTGCATTTGTACACGACCGGTGGATCATTCACATCCTAAAATAGAAGAAAGAATCAACAAGTGCCTGAGTAAAGTTGGTGGAAAAACGTAGAAATCGAAATGCAGAAGTCACTTACATCGTCTGTGCCATGGTCCGGTTCCTCAAAGTACAGACCGATATCATCATACTCCGCCTCCTCCTCATCCGGCGCCTTCAGAGCTTGGGAAACCTTTGGCCGTGCCATCTCAGGTTGGGAAACCTTGTGTCGTTTACAAGTTCGCGTGTCTTCGTCGTCAGAGTTTTGTTTAAGATTCATGCGAGAAGTTGGGTTGGAAGCTTGTGAAGCAGGAGTTCCAGAATTCTAAAGCACACACACACAAAGAAATAGAAAGTCAGTTTCATGAATATGCTGACTTTCTTAAAATTCCACTACAGGTAACTCGCCTTGTTTCCTTTGGCGCTTTGTGCCACCGTAGTAGTACGAGTAGAAGTCGAAGCAACAGCCTTCCAAGAAATCAAAATAGAAATAGAAGATAAAAATGTGAGAATCATGGTATCTTGCGATTGATCGAAAGGGTCACAGATACATACCTTTTTTCTTTTTGTTATCGAAGCATTGGTAATTTCGCTGCTAGTCTTCTTAGACTGTGAAGCCTTCTTCCCGAAAACTTGGCCTCCGACAATCTCACAATCATTGTCGGATCTGGAGAGTGATCGTACCCGTTTACGGGAAGGTCCAATTGAAGAATGAGCAATCGAAGGAGCCATTGGAGAAGGGGCAATCAAAGAAGGTAAGCTAGTCAAACCACGCCGGCTATCTTGGGATGGTTGAATCATTCCAGGACCCAATTGGACCGGGGTAGTGACACGAGAGGTTCGACGAGGTGGAGCTTGAGATTCGTCAGTTTCATATCCAGACTGAGAAGGTCTACCCATCTTGAGGAAGAGGAAAACAGAGAGATGAGAACGGATAAATTGGAGAGGTGATAGCTAAAGGTTGTTTGATGAAGGGGATGGGGTTCAAGGTGAAATCGATTGAAATAAAAGAAAAGGATTATATTAGATCACTCAATTGGATTCCAATCAAAAGATGATAATTATTATTGAAAACGAAGAGGAGGAAATAGATACTGACGAAAGAGGTTGGTTTGGAGAGGAAGGACTCCATCGAACGTCCGTTGGGGGAGAATGTTGGGATGGTGTGTTGATGGCGCAACTGGTGGTCCATCGGATCCATGATGATGATATCGTGAGTGGATAAAGGCTGACCCAATTGGTGGTCATCGATGGGGTATAGATATCGGGAAGTTTGGCTGAAATCAGCTGTAACGTACCAATTTTTTTTCACAAGCTGTGACAGGGATGATGACGCACTTTAGCAAGAACAAAATCGGTGAAATGGGACGATATCGCACCGCCAAGCCGAACTGTAAAATTTGCTCTGACCCATAACGTAGCCCCGGTACGGTACGGCACGTTGCCCGTTGAAAAAAACGTAACTGGGCCAACGTTGATGTTACGCTTACGGATCCAGTGGTCACCATCATACGGTGGCTGTGGAGCGCCAAATGAGTCAAAACCCCCAAATGCAAAACTTTCACATGAAACTCCCCCAGGAAGCCCCGTTGAGCGTGTCCCGACCCCGAGTCCGCTACCCAGAATAACGCTGTGCCCGTCATCACTCTCCGTGCTCAATGACAGTGATTCCAACTGCGCCAACTCGATCTATGGACGTCTTTCTTTTCTCCATTCCAACTACCTGATATTTATTAAGAGAAATTGTGAGGAGGGTGTTACAAGAGTGTCTGCATATAGAAAGATTCCTTTCGAGGGATCCCCTGAAAAGCCAAGCAGGGTCGGTTGATTGAGAATTCTATCGCATTGATCAAATTATCAATCACAATCACAAGATTACACGGTGACGGTGGTTGCTATTGCTGTGATGTGTTTGGATAATCATCATTGTAATATAAAAAATACCCTGATGATGCTTTTAAGAATCCTGGTTTGATGAAAAGTGACCTTCACAGGTCTTGGGTAGAACAACCACATCATTTCTCCGATAGCTGTCTTTCTGTGCCATGTCCTGCACTTGCTAGTCCTGCACTTGCTAGATGGCACTTTGGGAATTATGATAAATAAAGAGTGGCATAGAAATGAAAAAAGAAAGCTGAATGATGGAATGATGGAATGAAATCGAGTGAAATGAAGGGACTTTTTGGTCCGGGGCAGCGGACCTTGGCGGACCTAGGATCGGGACACGTCTCCAAAGGGCTTTCTGGGGGAGTTTCGTGTAGAATTTTGCATTTTGGGGTTTTGACTGATTTGGCGCTCCACAGCCACCGTACCATCATTTGCAAAAGATCACCACGCGCCCCCGCTCGCAAGATGTGGAACGGGTCGTACCGTTGGGACTCTGCAGAGTGTCGTCTCTCGAGTCTCGACATACAGCATGGCCGGCCATGACCGGGTGTTACACAGCGAACCTGTCTTTGGGGTGGAACAAGCCTTTCGAAGACAAAGCGCTCGAGTCACTTGCCCCAAAATCTGCTTGATAGATAGGCTCCAGCGTTGATGAAGTAGTTATCAAAAATTTGATCATTCCGTCATGCAAATGATCGACAAGACGGGATTCTTGCAATGAAAAAGTCATCTTTTCTTCAAGTTTCATATGATAGTAACACCTGTTACATATCAGACCTATCATAAGACTTTAACATCGAATCTTTGCCATTCTTTTTGAAGGTGACAGGGAAGGTGTCTATGAGATTGTAGGTGGTACAACGATTGTGCCACTCTTGTTAGAAGACTGGATCTTGAAGATGGTTAGATGACCATGCACCCGGAATCCGAGATTAGAAATCAAAATGAACGGCCTGATGAACGACGTTCCCATGATTCCAAGGAGTCAACTTTGGAAACCTGCGGATGTACATTAATCTTTATCTGATGCTGCAACTGACATTAATAATAAGTTTTCAATATATCTCTGATAACTTCGATTCCAAGCAATATCATGACTTTTTGGATTTGAGTTCAGACCTTGTATACTACACAAATGAACTTTTTGAAAGATGAGGAAAGATGCTAGGCTTACATATGTACAGTCATTTAAGAAAGTCTTGGCTTATTTCTCCTGCAAATCTCGAGCGAATATGTCGGGTAAATTTAGGGCAAGCTTTTCTTAATTTAAGTTTGGTCAGGGTTTCAATTTGATTAAGATGAGAACTCATAGCTAAAATCAAGGTGAACACAAAGTGAAGAGAGAGGAAGGCTTCAAATAATTTGTTTCTAATTGTAGAAAGAATTTTTGGAGATTCAGGGTATATATATAAACTTTCAAAAAGTTTGATTTTCTGCACCATGTAAATCTGTAACAAAACATGAGTAAGGTATTAAAGAAATCATGTAAAGAGATATCTTTTGAGCTTCAAGAATTCAAGTGTTGAATGGTTGATTTGACATGATGTTATATCAACTTTTTAATTTAGCATCTGCTGGTCTAACAAATGGAATCCTAAACCCACTCATAAGAGCACGACTAAATCAACAGAACCCCCAACCCAAAACCATAAGTCAAACGTTCACAACCGAAACCTCAAGTAGAAGAAGTTATCAAAGGTTTCAAGACTTACGCTTTATCAGATGCACCAGGACCGGTAGCATTCGTCACAAAATGAAGATTCATTCCATATTTCCTAGGCCAATTTTCTAAACTTTCTTCAATGCCAGGCCATAGACCCATTCCACTAGAAGGTAAACCAAGTTGAACGGTTCCACTGACCATCGAAGTATACCGTTGATGTACATCATAGGGAGGTAATTTGAATCCATTATAATCTTTTAATCTAGGTAAGACAAAGGTCACCAAGACATCGATGAAATTCCACATCTCAGGTCCTTTTAAATTCACATGAACTCCACAGGTCATGCCTCTTCTGACTCGAAAAGTCGTAGATGCATCTTTAGTTTGACTTAATTGAATGCCTTCATCAGACTTTAAAACAGATTTAGCTTCCGAACTCAGACCGGTCCGATCAGGTTGTCCGGTGATCATCTGAAGCAATAGATCGCTCCAAGTAATTCTTTTTTGGTATGAATCGATTCAGGTACATGGATATCGATTGAGATTTTTTGTAATCGGATCGAATGATCAGGTGATGAATCTGATGCTGGTTTTCGTGGAATTGCACAACTTCCTCCTTTGGGTGGTCTAGCTGGTCGGTTACGAGTATAAGGATCGGTAGGATCCCATTGAGGTAGTTTCGAAAGTGGATCTGGATGGTCAACGAGTGCTCTACCGTTCGAGTGATGTGGTGTGGATCCATCCATGGCATAGCCCGCTGGTAGTTGGTATGTCATATAAAGCATATCACTTGATAAATGATGATCATAGTATTCTGATAATCTACATCGGCTCATCATCCCCGGTTTAACAATCTTGGCTAGTTTATGATGATGAGAAGAGATCGGTTTGGTCGGTTGGGTTTCTTCTTTGGTTATCACGGTTGCAAATGATGATCTTGGATATCGGGTCATTGGATTAGATCTTGAAATCGGGTTGGAATGTAAAATTGAATCGATTCCTGAATGAGAGATTCGATGAGATTTTAAAGTCGATGGTCTTGACCAAACCTTGCAAATCGATGAAGCCATGGTTTGATTTGTTCGGTAAATCGTGGTTTTTTCTTTGGAGGTCGAGCAGGGTCAAGACTCAAGCCTGTTGAAAGTTGATCTGAGGAATTGTGAACCAGATGTAACACCACTGTCACAGTAAGATGTCACATATCCCAGCGCAACTCTCCTTCCCTTGAAGTCTTGAAGGTCGGGCCGACTTGGAGCACTCCTCAAGAAAATTATTGACATCCATCCTTCACTTAAGTCAACTCCAAACATCGCTTTACAAGATATTGTGCTATTTATCAGCTACTATAGAAAACATGATACATATTCAACTGCTATCCGTTTCCCAAATCATTTGGAAGGACCCAAAGCCATAATTCCGTCAACATCCCCCCGTCCGAACGCTCTGTTATTTATGACACCTTGGCATTTATGAAACCTGGTACAACAGGACTCATCGGCGCTGGAAAGATTCGGGACTTTTGCGGAGGTTTAGCCACCGGAACAGATGTACTCGCCCATCGTTCGAGAATCGATACTGAAGAATTTAAAGTTTTGATTTCCGAACAGAGTGACCAAGTGTTATAAAATCCTACAAAAAAATGGAGATAGATACTCAAGGTATTCCTTTGAATCCCTCTCGGTGCGGTGAAACGTATCATAGGAATATGAAGAAAGGAGTTCACAGCTTCGGATACTTGGTTCAGATACATCACAAGCTTGAAGAAAAACTGTCATAAGGTCAGTGATATGACCACGCAGACCAAAAAAAAGGAGTTTCAAATAAATAAATAAACTTGGATACTGAAGTATACAGTCCTTCGCGTAAAGTAAAGCTTTGAGTAAAGATTGTCCATCTATTTGATCAAATTTTGTCGATGAAATTACGCAAACTTTGAGCAATTGAGAGTACTTACTGCTGTAAGTTTTGGAATTAGTATATCATGTGGGGAGAGGTATTTTAAGTGGATCAATTCGGCCGGAAGATTAACATCGGTCGGTGATGTAGCAGTGCTCAACGGTCGAAAATAGGTTTCAAGTTCTGATGATTCTGTTATAAAAAGGTGAAAGGCGAACATCTTTTTATCTTTAGAAAATAACTTATTGTTTCCTTTTGAAAGAATCTTTATTTAGTATATTGTGACCTCGGATACCCAGATAGATTCATCACTGAAAGAGGCGAGATGCGCTCACATGTGATATTTCCGTCTATGCTTGTGGTGTGGATATCTGTTGTCTTGCAACAGGCTCATTCTTCGCGTGAGTCTACTAAACAGAGCACATATCTCACTCTGATTAGAAGTTTGACTATCGTATATCGTATTTTCGTCAGTGTTCACCCCAAATATCATTGAAGGATCTGGAACCAGTGATGAGTGAGTCGGATAGCTTGTTACTGGGTATTAGATTTCTATTGATTGATAGTAACGCTTCATGATCTTCTTGGTAAACAAAAGGCCCATGATTTCTAAATATGCTTCTAAGCTTTTTAAGAAATGTCATATTACAGATCTTAATACTCAAGTATCAATATTGGAAAAAGGAAAGAAAAACTTCAATGAAAAGATTTTAACAATTGATCGAGAATATATGGAACCTGAAGCTCAAAGTTGGTCATTAAACCCTTCAGATTCAAACCCAATGGGTTCAACCTCATTAAGTTCAAAATCAGAAGTAGAGGATAGCAAAGGAAATGTTAATCTAATTTCGAAGAACTTATCACAATTTTCTTTAAAAAGACAAAAAGGCTATATAGTATTTGAAGATGGAGAAAATGATGATTATTTACAAAACTATTTAGGTTATCTTTATGATGATAGAATCCCAGAGATGATAATCATTTGTAGAGGTTATTCCAAATTAAGATTAAAGATGTGTGAAAAGTTTTGGGAAATGATTTCAAATGAACATCAATGTGAAATACCTCAAATCTTAATGGGAGCACAAGGGAAAAGAGAAACCAAATTGTTTGATATTATGGAAGGAGTTGGAGTGATTGATGAGACTGAAAGACAAAGATTAATAGAAGCTTCATTAGATTTTCAACAAAGAGAAATCGAAGCCAAAGAAACTTATCGGATTGTTACCGATCATATTCTTACATTAAATAAAGTTTCGATTGCATTAAAGACAGCTCCTACAGATTTATATGAAATTGTCAAACTTTTGGGTTTAGAGATCGCAAGAGAAAAGATGATCATCGGTTGGGCATCACCAGCAGGATTTGTAGAAAAACCAGATGGATTACATATCTTTGCTAAATTTAACTTTGAACAAGATTATGAAGCTTCATATGACTTAATTTCAAGTGAAATCCCAATGTATCTAACAGGTAAAAGTTTAAGTGATACACGTACAAAAGCTTTTATTGCCAAAGAACATGTGATTAAGATGAGAGAAGTAGATGAAAAGTTTGAAGGGTTTAAAGGTTTTGAAAATTTAATTGAAACTTTCAAGTCTGCTAAAACGGGTGGTTTTCTTCATCTTTATTTACATGTCCAAAGAGCTTTTCAAAATGCAAGAGTTTATTTTGCAAAGAAAACAATTGACTATCTTAATGAATTATCAAATAAGAATCATCCTATCAAAGACATCAAAGTTGATCAAGAAGCTTTAAAATCTAAATTTGCAATAGAATATTTTGAAAAGATGAAACAAGGACTTGAAAAAAGTCTTGGAAACTATCCAACCCAAGATCATGTAAAAAGTAAAATCAAAAAAATAAAACAAAGACATGAAAAGAGTGTAAAAAGATGGGGGAGTTTATTTGAAGGTGAAGATCATTTTGTTGAAGGTTGTGTTGCAGATCCACATCTCGAATTCATTTTGAATTCTACACTAAGGAAAGAATCAGTGAAAGAAATCATACCCGTAAAACTTTCAAAAAAACTTGGTGTTTATTCACAACATGATATTTATATTGAAATTCAACCTGAAAGTAATTGCTGGTTACTTTCTGGTGTTGATGATACTCATTTTGTTGAAATCTTACAAGACTTTATTAATCGTTCAAATAAAAACGTTGGAACTCAAAAGACTGTTTAAGTTTATTTGTGTCAAATCAAACAAAGATAGTCAACCTCTCATAGGGTTTTTCTGATGATTCTTTGGGTTCATTACAAGGGAGCTGCCGATAAATTGGCATCATGACTTCTTCAGAATTGTTTCTTTTTCAAAGCAGCAAGATATGTTAGGAGACAGTGAAAGAAAGCTATGTCACTTGGACAACCATCCATGTGATTGAAGAGGAATACTTTGAATGTCAAGAGGATGGTACAATGACAAAGATTCAATGAGATCATTTCTTGAAAATGATGATTGAGGTTTAATCTTGATCTTCCTCTTGGACTTCAGCCATGTAGACAATCTGAATGATCTATGCCCACATAATCCTTTCCCATTTTCATTTTTCTTTTCTTCAATTTTTTTGGTGAAACAACAGTATTCAAAGCTTTTGTTGTATACCATAGAGCTGCTCTATTTTATGTTTGTGAT